TTTAAAATATTTAGCTTTATTTTGAAAATCTTGCCCCATTTAAATGCATGGGAAAACTACTTTCAGCTATCAAAATGTTCAGCTCTTCAAGGACATTCATGGTTCTCTTCAGAATTTTTCTAACCTTCATTCCTTTAAAATATTTAGCTTTATTTTGAAAATCTTGCCCCATTCAAATGAATGGGAAAATTCTACTTCAGCATAATTTCAGCTAGCAAAACCATTCAGGTGTCAAAATTTTCAGCATTTTCAGGGCGATTTTTCAGCACTCAGCATCCATACGCATTTTCTTCAGAAAATGCAATTTTCTAGTTCTTTTTCACCTTCTTATTATATGCCTACTTTTGTCCTGTTGTGCTCTAAATGTACTGTTATACATCTGTTGCAACAACTTGTGCTGAAAAATTCTGTATTGATTTACATTGCTGTTTAATAAAAACTGCAAAAAAAAAAGAAAAAAATTTCTGTACGACTTGACTTGTGGCTTGCTTGATTTACAGTACAGACTCGATTGACTTGCTTGGTTCTCACCACATCAACTTGGGATTGCTTGAGACTTGCACAACTTAAATTTATGATTGTCTCATAATTTATTTACACATCATGATATTGTGAAAATATATAAAAGTGTTCATCTTTCAAATTGTTTAAGCACCATGTGTTGTTTACATGCATTTGGCCCACATATGCTGCCATCATGGGACAATTCAAGTGTTTCAAAACAATTAACCATGTTCCAAAATAGTTGGTTCAAAACTTCGAAAAGCCTCGTTTCCGCCATCACTATCATTAGTACAGATGTAATAACTGCTCTATTATCTGTATTAAAGTATTACAATGTAATAACTGGTTTATAACAGTTTATATACACGCTGTAATCAAAGGAACATGTCTGTGTTTGTGTTTGCCAAGCAGCAACCTCCAAGGCTCTAACTTGCCCATTTGTATTATATCAAGACTGAAAGTTACACATCATTAAAAGCGTGGCCACTCTGGGTAACAAGCAGGAGGATCTCGTC